CTGCTGCTGCTGCTGCTTGTGTTGCTGCTGCTGCTGCTGCTGCTGCTCGTGTTTCTGCTTGTGTTATTGCTGCTGCTGCTGCTGAAGTGTGCTTGCTGTGTGTGCTTGCTTGTCTGCTGCTGCTGCGCAGCCACAGCCCCGACCGCCTCTCGCGTGTGGTGTATGAACAGCTGCAGCAGCAGCATGTAGGGGTATACGCAGGGAACCGTGGCGGTTTGCTGCTGCTGCTGCTGCGGCTGCTGCTGCAGGACTCCAACGACGCCCGCAAGGCTGCGCTGCTCAAGCGGCTGCTGCTGTTGCTGCTGCTGCTGCTGCAGACAAGCCTCTTCCATACCTCACCAGGACTAGCAGCAGCTGCGCTGCAGATATTACAGGGGGTGCTGCAGCAGCAGCCGCAGCTGCGGCTGCTGCTCTCGGAGAAGGAATCTCAGCTGCAGCAGAAGGACGAGACTGTTGCTGTGAGTGCACACGCAGCAGCAACTGCTGCTGCAGCAGCAGCAGCAGCAGCAGGAGCAGCAGCAGTGGCGTGCGCGTAGCACATGCTTGTTTCTATGGAATGGCGTTGCTGCCTTTGCTGCTGCTGTTGCTGCTGCTGCTGCTATGTGTTGCTGCAGGATGCGCCAGAAGACGACGAGCAGCCAGCAGCAGCAGCAGCAGCAGCAGCAGAAGCAGCAGCAGCAGCAGAAGCTGCTTGTGTTTATATACCGGAGAAGAGGGACCCTCGTTTCACCCGCGTATGCATTCAATACAAATATATTTGTCTCCTTTTTGCTTTTCTTTCCTTCTTTCTGTCTCCTTTTCTTTTTTTCTTTCTTTCTTTGTCTCTTTCTTTTTTTCTTTTTTTGTTTGTTTCTTTTTTTCTCTGTTTCTGTCTCTTTGTCTCTGTCTCCTTCTCTGTCTCAGTGTCTCCTTTTGCCCGTCGTTTTGTCTCTCTTTCTGTTTGCTGCTGTCTCCACTCCTGTCCCCCTTCAGCAGCAGCAGCAGCAGCAAGAGCAGCAGCAGCAGCAACAGCAGCAGCAGCAGCAGCAGCAGCAGCAGCATAAGATGCTGTCTCCTTCTCAATTGCTGTGCAGGCTGAGGAGACCCGTCTCTGGGAGGTTGCTGCATGCGCAGCCAGCTACCACCCGCGTGTTGCTGCTGCTGCTGCTGGCTTGCTTGCTGCTTACTGCAGCAGCAAAAGAAGCAGCAGCAAAGGCAGCAGCAGCAGCAGCAGCAGCAGCAAGGTTCTAAACACAGCAGCAACAGACGAAGCAGCCATTGTAGAGACACTGCGCTCCGTCACCAACGGCAGAGTCCTAGACGACTTGGCTTACAAGGTGCAGCAGCAGCAGAAGCAGCACAAGCAGCAGCAGCAGCAGCAGCAGCAGCAGCAGCAGCAAGAGCAGGATCGCGTCTCCCTCAACTCTACACGCTACTGGCAGCGACACGAGGCAGACCCAGAGAGAGAATTCATCAGAAAATACTTCATCGTAAGTATCTGCTGCTGTCGTTGCTGCAGCTGCTCCAGCAGCAGCAGCAGCAGCTGCTGCTGCTGCTGTCTTTGTTGCTGCAGCAGTGCTGTAACTTTGTGTGCAGCAGCTGCCCCTGG